TATGTGGATTGATTGAGGATTTTAAATCATTTGGTTGAACTTAATCGATTAAAATGGATAGATTATCGTTAATTAATTGAATTAGTTTGAGGAGTTAAGTGATTTGAATTTATTTTTTATTTATACTATTAAATTACAGCATGTATAGAAATAAAATATGTAGATAGTAAAAGTTGAATAGTTAATATAAAGGGAAAAATTCACAACTAAGAGTTTAAATATTATCCATTTCAAAACTAAGAACAAATGTTTCAAATTTCAAAATTTGGATACTAATTAAAATTTATTTATGAATGAATTAATTAATTACATTAAGGTTACAAATCTATATAATTTGGTCACAAATTAACGATTTAATTAGTTACGTATTATTTTTCGATCACAAATCAGAAATTTTATATGTCATAAATTATTTTACAATCACAATTCAGAAATTTTATAGGTCACAATTTGTTCATCAGCCACAAATCACAAATATTATAAGTCACAACTTAGTAGACAGTCATAAATTGTCAAATTACCGATCACAAATTAAAAAAAAAATTTAGATCACACATTATTTTTTTGTCACAATTTATCTTTTTCATTGATCACATATTATTTATTGGTCACAGATTAACCAATTTGATGGTCACAGTCAATCAAATAATCTGTGACCACAACCAACACTTGACTATCATTGCACCACTCCCTCTAGTAGTAGCACCGCCGCCTTCGTCGCCTAAACCACCACCTCCCGACATCAACACTTCCACCTTAAACAAATCAACATATCGCAAAAAAAAAAAAACACCACCACATCGTCACGCCGTCCACTACCACCTCGACAGACCCATCGTCGTCACCACCCCCCACCACTGCATCCAACAACACAACCATCACAAATTAACAAATTTATATATTACAATTACTCAAATAATTGGTCACATACGCTCTTCACCACTACCACCACCTACTACACTACACTACCACAACCACCATCATTATCATTTGTAAACTAACTCCCAATTTGTAATTGTAAGCAGAGGCCTATAATTTCAAAAATTACACTAGAGGCCCTTGCCCTCAAATCATTATCCAAACTTTAATTTTCCCTTTTTCTCTACGGTCGTCGGCATCGTCGTCGTTTTGTTTTCGTCAGGCAGCGCAGTCGAGGAACTCTACAGCTCACAGCGCCGGCAACTCTACTATTACCAACATTGAGCAACTCTACCATTCGCAGTCGCAGGACACTAGCTTTCGCAGTTCTGCTTTCAACACTAGTGTCGATTGCTGCAAAAATGCGTTGCAATGTACAGTTGAGCTTCAACGAGATAGCATCGCGATGCTGCTCAGTCGGCACGGTCACACGCAGGCAGCGTCACTATCGCCACGTAGCAGTGTTGTAACGTAGCGCCGCACACAGCGGTGTGAGTACCGATGCAAGTGCTGCTCGATCGTGAATTTCCAGTTGAAGTCTTTCGACGACGATAAGAATAGAGAAAAAAAGGAGAGGTAATCAGCGGGCGCGAAAGAAGGGAGGGGATGGAAGAGGAAGAGAAAGAAAGAAAATATACGATTTGGATTAAATTTGGTAATTAGGGATT